CTAATTATATTGATTTGTTGCGTATCATATGATACAAAGTAAGTAGGTATGCCTTGGTTTCTATGGAAATATATTTTTGTATATTGCATCTGAAGTAAAATTCAATATATTTGTAACATATGTATTAAGACAACTCATCTTATCTGAAAATCTAAGACCGAGAAGACAAAAAGATATTAGTAATAGTATATAAAGTTCTATTAACATAATAATTGGGTTAGATTACAACTTGATATTGAGATAATTTGTGAATTATTATTCTATAGAAATTATTGGGGTAACACAATATTCAAATGTTGGTAGGTGTTGGTAGCTATATTTACCTGTAAAGTGGATGTGCATTTAAATGTTGTGCCGTTAGTATGCAAATGGGTAGTTTAACACACGGTGTGTGGGACTGAAATTGTGGTTAGTTATAGTTCTGGTATTGATTTGAAATATAAATGGAATCTATAAAATCTAATCTATACAACGTATCGAAATGTTCCATTAAACCTTATTAAAGTAAATTTGTCCTTGTATTCATTATTTAAAAGTATTAACTGGAACAAAGATAATCTTATCTATGGTAAATATCTATCTTTAATCTAAGATTCCACTAACCTAATTTCGATTTCATTTTCATATTGATTGCTTAAAAGTTATAAATGAAGTTTACATCGATTATACGTTTGAATACATTCGATAGTAAGAAATAAAGATGGTGATGAAGCGATCTGTTAGAGTTGATTTATAAATACGTAGAGGTCCCTATCAATCAGTGACTGTTATAAATCACATGGTATTTGTGCCGCTTTGCAAATATGAATTAATTATCCGTTTAACCAAAGACTATATGTATGTCATTTTAAACGCATCCAAAAGGCGCCTTGTCGATTTAAATACAATGTAGGTTTTTCTCGATGCTGGTGGTCAAGATTAATGTGGAGATGTCTGCCAAAACGAATGGTTTACGGCTGGTATAAAAGTAAAGGGATTTTTTACCGTTGCATTAAGTAATCTCGCGCATTTATTCAAGTGGAACTCGGCTATATTGTGAACGGAGAATTGCCAAAATCAATTAGAATAATATAGAGTCAAGTGGAGAAATGGGTTTTGGCAAAAAGCTCTCAAAGAAAACATGTGGTCAATATTTGAAGGACATTATGTGTATCTTAATGGTGAAACTAAATCGATTCCATCTTACCGTGTTTACATATGATAGATTTGACGCCATTTCAGCTTACATTACCGCATAATACAACAATTAATTTTCCGTACATACCAATTAAAGTACAAGGAAGTTGAGAATACATGAATAAATATACTTACGTTGTCGATATAGAGTACCTAATATCTCCATTTTATGAAATTAATTTATTCATGAACGTAACCAATCGAAGTGTAGTTGGTTGTGCATATTAGGTATGGTGTTACGTCGTCACCAACTTCCCTTCGATACATCACCAAACTGGTTACGTTCATTACGCATTCTCCGAGAAACAAGGGTCGATAATAAATTCCAAAGCGAAATTGAATCATTAACAAAGCGCTGGTTCCGAGCACGACATCGTCTTTCGTAAAACGGTTTCGATACCTCATTTGTCCGACACGGCATACATTGAGACCGAAGAATGGTCTGCTCACGCGTGATCATAAAAACCATCCTGTGTGTTAAGCGTGCAAAAAACAAACACCACCAACTGAAAGGATGCTTTTGGAAGGCGTAGTCGGCCAACGAGCCAACGGTTTTCTGTAATACGTACAGGAAGAAATAAGCTTAGTCATTTCTTAGATTTCAAAGATTTCCTCGTTATTTAAAGAACGAACATAATTAGACATATAAATTAAAGACGGTGTCTCATTTAAATGTAGGTAGGTAAACCGTTACCGTTAGATTTAATTGGGCATTTTTATGTTTATTGCACCAGGTAAATAAGAGAAACGAATGAAATATGAGTATAACGTACTCAACGAAGACGGTTTGTCGTCTCTCTTTATTAAATGAGTTAACAGGAAAAATCAAAATTGCGGCGCATACCTGCCAGCAATGCGACGAAAGTAACTAAATCAATCGACAAAAAAACGCAATTAAAATGCAAATTCGGTAGCAGAGTCGACAACGCGCAATTTGCATGGTTTTAACGACTCAACGGTGGTAAATGATGCAATGGATTCCTATAATGAAAGTCAAAAAATGGAGAAGATAGCCCCAGAAAAGCCGAAGACTCATTGAATTGGAAACCACGCGTCGCTTTTAAACGATCTATTTACAAGATCATCATTTTGTTAATATGTGGTTTTATATTGAAGTTGATTTCGCGCATATTATTACTGGGTATCGAGTGCGGTTATAGGTCGATTAACGACCAGTTTGTGTATGATGACCGCCGCTTTATACATTAATCTAGCGTTGTTGGTATTAGAACGACGTTGTAGCGTCTTGACAGGTTTTCGTTGCGTCTCAATCAACTATTAATACGGTTTTTGTGCACGACTATTTCAATCCGGGCGGCATGAAATTGTGAAAGATTACACCGCTCCTTAGTCTTTCTCCGCATAGTTGAGGCGCGCAACCGAGATAAACAGCTTTTGGAAATGCGGGTGCAGCCTTGTTCCGTCACAAACGAGCTTTGTAAACATAAATTCGATTTAACGTTGTTAAAAATGCATACGACACCGCAGGAGATAATTACCATACCTCTCTATTACATTAGTCTTACGAAAGCTTAAGTTTTTCGTTAGTGAATAGTATACGACAGTGATATCAACTTGTATGCTAATTAAACAGAAATACAGGACGTTTGATTTAGTAAGGGAAAGTTGCAATTAATTTTTTTGCTTTTATATAGTATTTTGTGAGTGTCAAAGTTAGCTGATAAAACGTGCTTGAATCCTAAATAAATATTAATTAAATGTCTGTTGGCCGCAAACGATTGATGAAGTATAATGCATTAAGCGAAGGCCGCTTGCGGCCGAGGTGCTACAATCACCACAACAAACTAGGCAACACACATTGCAGTGCCGAATAAGTGCAAAAAAATACATTGAACGTATTTTCTTGTATTGAATTGCCGATGAGTCAATAAAAATATCAATTTCACACATCATCGACATTTACGATGGCTAATAACGCCGAAACCACACTCACTCGAGTCAATAATTCATGAACCGCGGACTGGGGCTCCTGGACATTGTTTTCAATCATCCGATAAACGACCATTAATCTCGCGAAACGGCGCGTCCAGACGCCTCAAAAACTACCAAACCAAAAACAAAACCGAAACGACTACTCGGCCGGCAATTATTTTTGACGGCCCGTGAAAACAAATGAACTATTACGATGCTAACGACCTCCGCGGGCTTTCGGTTTGCTGCTGCTGCTGATGCTGCTGCAGCCGGCGGTATTTTTATCGCGTGACCGTGTCGTAATCCGTCGTTAACGCCAGATACAAAAATAAACTTTCACAATTATTTACTTAAGACGACGGTTTCAGGCTTAACGGAGTTGACATTGTTGTTTAGTTGTCTCGTGTATATGCTAATTAATTTTTTTTTCTAAGAAACTACGATACTTAGGTGCATATTTTTAAAATTTTGTTAAAATATAAACGTTTTAAATCTTGAAAGACATGGAACATTGTCAGGACACAATAGGAGTATTTGCCCACTTTATGGGACCGTGACTCTACGTCAACAACGTTTGAAAGAACATTTTGAGCCAAGAACGGCGGTGGTCGAACTGCGGGCGAGGAAACACCAGTTAACAAGCACGTGTGGCCCGTTATTTATGGCAGCGGGTCACGTGACTTTCATTCATTCCGTCCGATTGCCCACGCCTTCGTCGGCACTCATCGCGATTTAGCCATCTACGGCGTAGGTGGCGCCACTTAAATCCTTATCTTTCTATGAGATATTTTGATTGAGAACTATTCTTTTTCAACCACTACTAAATTCTAGATCATTTTGGATCACTGCGTTATGGAAATAAAAAGTAAAAGGAATTTCTGTGAAGCGAATATTATATTCAAATCGAAATTTGCAAGTACAAACAGCACGAAATGGAACTGAAAACAGTCCTGGCATAAATTCCAGTCTCATTTATCGTTTCCAAGAAACTCCTAACCAGCTGTATCCATAATATGGACGCCGTAAAACGGGCGACGTACGCACCCATTAGGCCTGTCAACGCAGGCTCTCTTATATCTTTCTAAATTGCCGAATTTAGATAGAAGGCGAACGAGTGGATGGCGTCGTTAGCGTTTTTAAGAGAGTCTGTGTTCGGGTCGACCGCTTTCATGTACATAAAATTTAGGTCATGTTTTCACTGCACACAGCACGAGCAATAAGGGGACGGTTCTCTTAGCGGCGATATTCTTGGTTGCAACTTGCCTCTAAGTATAGAATGATTGTCCGGGTCCCATTAACTGCACTTAAAGGTCGGAAGTCACCGAGTATTTTTGAAACTCGCGATGGGTACCTAAAGTCGTGGTAAGTCATTCGTTTCAAAATAGAAGCCCGCTTTCAATGATTTATTTTCGGTTGACGGACGCTACTTAGTCCTTTACAAATTATATGGCACGGTTCAAAGGACACGTCTCATTGATCAACCGTATAGAAAGAGAGGCGAAATGAATACAACATCTTATACAACAATTTATGTTCCATTTAGTTTTAGCAAAAGTGCGATTATCAAACAATGGTTAAGTTTTGACCTATCATTACGGTTTCTAACAGTAAATCGAATCCGTACTGACCCGCCCACATCGTGTCTTCTAAATAGCCTATATTACAAGGGACGAGATCTTACACGAAATCCGAAGGCGTCCGGTTGATGGAACGCCTTGAACTTGACAAACAATGCGCCCACGACGATGGCAACGAGCTCAATTACCATAATAGATTGCGCGCAATTAGAGGTGGGCAGTTTGCATAGAAATCGCGAATGAAAGATTGGCTTTATGGTTAATCTTTGCAAATCCGATTCGCGTGGAGAAAGTTAAAGTAAATTCGATACTTACTTTGACAGCCCTGCTCGGAGAAATTGTAATGGAGGTGTTGGCATGCATCGCAATGAAATCCCTCGACTCCTGATTTGCAATAACACAATCCTGTTCGTTGGTCGCAAATTCCCGAATTTGATCCTATTAAGTTACATTCGCATGGAACACATCCTGCTGTTACATTTCCGTATCCCTCCTAAGAAAATAATGTAAATAATCAATAAATATACAAAAATGATTAATAAGGTACCTTGCATCGATCGCAAGTTCTACCAACGAAATTTTCTTTACACTGACAAAGTCCAGTAACGTTATCGCAATTTTCCGACAAAGATCCAGCGGCATCGCAGGAACAGGCTTGGCAATTAGCAGCGGTAGGGTCGCCGAAGTATCCTGATTTACAGCGTTCACATCTCCATCCTAAAACAAGGATAAATAATCTCGACTTATTGCAGTGTATAATCTCCGAACGGATAATAAATAAAGTTATCCGAAGCGTTAATTCTTAAAGCCGGAGAGTAATTAGTATCGTTGTAATCTGCTTAATAAAGTAAACGAACCTTCGGTATTTCCCCTGCAGGAGAGACACTTTCCTGTTGTGCGATCACATGGATTCCCGCCACAAGAACACAACTGGCATTTACTGCCCGATTGAGTAGGCAACCCAAAGTATCCATCATCACAACTAAGAAGCAGAAATAAGAAGAAATTTGAGTAAGTAAAATTTTTAGGTAAAATTTTTTAGATGTTATGTTATAAGTAAGTGAAATGAAATTAATAATTTAAGGATCAATCATTGAATATGATAACAATTTTGTGAAAGTCTTAGTGATCAGGCTCAATCTTGAGTGATACAAATACCAAGTACCAAGTAATGATAAGATTGTTAAAACTAGAGTGTTTCTAATTCTAGGCTTACTGTTACTTCTAGTTTTAGTTCAATGGTATAATATTTGGCAATGATGCAAAATCCGCGTTTAATATCCTATCTCTATCATTATCATTGAAGAAGATACCCAACTTTCATTCATGAAGCTGCCGTCACTTTAAGACTATTTTTCAAAGCTTGATCAAAGCCAGACCAGAATGTAATTTATGTGCTTTGAGTAAACGTTTTAAATAGTGTACATTTAAGTGACATTGTAGCGTACGAAATTAAAATTATACAAAATAAGTACTACTTACATTTCACAATGATCTCCTGTATAACCTTTTGGACATTGAGTACAAACATATCCAATATCATTATAATCATTACTAATAGATAACGAATCCAATTGGCAACTAGGACTAAAATTATTTTCTTCTTCTTCCAAAGGACAAGCGCATTTTCTACAATCCTCAGATGTGCCCATTAATGGATTACCATAAAATCCAGGTAAACATCTATCACAAGTTTCTCCCATAGTGTTATGTTCGCATTGACACTGTCCGGTATCGGGATCGCATGTTTTCGAGTGTCCATTACAATCGCATTTGACGCAAAATTTTTCTGGACGATTAGAAACGTTGGTGTATAATCTAACGTAACCGTAATCGCAAGATTCGCATGAAAAACCTGTGTACCCCGAAGGACAAGAACATTTTTCGACTAAAGAAATTCCTTCTTGTATCTCAATGTAAGCTTCTTCAAGAGCAACTTCAATTTGGTCTGTGTGAAATTTCGCCCTTAATAGGATATGTTTAATGTCTGTAAGAACCGAAAGGAAGTCTGCTCTTGTTGCTAAAATGGAGTAATCGATTATTTCGTTTTTATCTAATTTAATTTTAAACCAATCTCCTTCCGTTAAAGGAATCTTAAAAGTGGCGTTAGCTCCATTAAAGATATTGTTTCCTTGCCCAATAATAAGTCCATTCGATCCAATCAATACGATATTTGGACTTATATCCGGTTTTCCGCTGGTATCTCCTCTCATTACGTACCATTGAGTTTTAAAAATAAAATTGCTTCCGTACGCTTGTAATTTATTTCCTACGAAGATCTCCGGTGCCAAAAAATAGAAAGAATTGGTGACGGAATTTTCTAAAGTCCCTAACGAAACTAGTCCGTCCTCCGTGATGGCTTTTTCGACATTGTTCAATGAAATGTCGGATGCACGCCAATTTTCCGGTGTTCTAAACTAAAAAAAAGTTAGGCGGATTTAATGTTTGGTGAACGGATTTATCTGAGAATCGTAACTTACGGTTTGGGAACTCAATACGGCGGCTTCGCAAAGGGTCGTTACCCCTGAACAATAACAACTAGAGCATCCATCCGGATTTCTGTCTTCCAGAGCGAAATAGCCGGATTTACATCGTTCGCAAAATGATCCTTCAACATTCACCTAAAACAAGCAAAATAAGTATCTTACTTTTAAATAATAATAAATCGTTAGAAATATGTTTACTTTACAGATGCATTTATCCTCACAATCATCGGGACCAATAGTTCCTCTTGAATCGCAAGGGCAAAGCTCGCAATTGGGATATCCCCTATAACCTGGGGCGCAGACATCGCACCTGGCGCCCGAGAATCCTGGCCTACATTCGCACAGGACCAGGTCTTTCTTAACGGTACAGGATCCAGTGGAGCCTGAGGGATCGCAGTTGCATCCAAGGCACGGTGTTTTGGCGTCTGGTTGGGTACCAGATGGTCGATAGTAGCCCGGCTGGCAGAGTTCGCAATTTATGCCGGTGGTGAAAGCCTGCAGATTAAAATTTCAACGAATCAATTTTCAATGCAATTTTTTAAAATTACTTACAGTGCAATTATCGCAAACTCCCCCACCGATAAAATTTCCATTCATATCCATGCTTCCATTTTCCTTTTCAATATTCTCGTCGTAATGGCACGATTCTGCATGTCCATTGCAGTTACACGGTACACATTCTCGGGCTTCTCGAGTGGTTCCAGGAGACCATTTGCGTTGATTAAATAAAGGACAGCATTTATTACAATTTGAACCACATGTGTTGTGGGCACATAAACATTCAATTCGCTATAAACAAAGAAACAATAATTAACTAGATTTCAAAAAAAAACATATTTATGTTTCAAATATATATATCGCAGGGGTTACTTTTTTGGTAAAATCCCTTGACTCTCAGTGTCGTATATCTTTCCGGAGATAGCACACCCGTAAATTCGATATGTTGACAGATTTCGTGGGGATATGGGGACTGGAAATATTGGTCGAAAACACATTTCAGCCCGGAAATCTGCAATGCATACTCGCTAGGCGCAGTAAGTCGGGGACGGGCGCCCTTTGACAGGCCAATTTCAAATGCAAATGCGTCCCGCGGCGTCGCGACGCCCCCCTCGGTCGTTCATCCGATTTCGTCGACGCCCGATTTGAATTTACCGCCACCTGAAGTCTACCGCGCCAAAAGACTCCGCCTCCGCGACGTTGACTTATGAAGGTACCGGGTTTTGCGTTTTCCTCGGGGGACCTTGGCTCCATGAATTCGAAATGAAACGTTCTTGTCACTTGTTTGTGTTAAATTTCAATATTCTGGGACTTGGAGACGAGAAACTCTCGTATTCTGGCATTATTTGAAATGTGAAATATTGTGTTTTAGAATTATCTAATGCTTATACTTAATATTGAATAAAAATTGTTTTTGCTAATTTTAATTTCTTGGGATAATCATTTTTTCTGGAATATTTGCCCTTTTCGGGTTGAACAGAATTTTTGATCAATTTAGATTGAACTTCATCGGAAAGAATCATTCAGGCTTAGCCGTCTTGAGTGACGTGCGGCTAAACCCGACTGATTTGAGTTCTAGATCTTGTGTTAGTTCCAGTGATAGTGCTAGTGTAAAACAAGAACTAACACTTGAGCTAGAACTAGAAATATTCGGGTTTAGCCGCACGTCTCTCAAGACTGCTAAATCCAAATTATTTGAGTTCTAGGTTCTAGGTTCTGCGTCTTCAGACGCACGGCTAAACCCGAACGTTTCTAGTTCTAGGTATAGTGTTAGTTCTAGTTTCAGTTCAATAAAAATATACAACATAGTGGTATCTAATGCTAACTAGCGCTACCTAGTACTGTTACTAGAACTAACATTTGATCTAGAATTAGAAACATTCTGGTTTAGCCGCCTTAAGAGGAGCAAGGCTAAATGGAATGTTTTTCGTTCTAGGTCTAGTGCTAGTGTTAGTCTAATTTTATTTGTTATTCAGCGTTACCTTAAAGGTTGTGATACCGTCAATGAAGTCATAGGTGTTGATATATTATTTGTTTCAAGGAGACATATTATAGTTAATGGTATAAGTGCGTTCACATTTGTCTTGTAAATCAAAACATTTGTCGAGTTACAAGACAAAAGTAAAGGAATGCGCAGTCGCGTTACTGGGTTCTCTACAACAATCGGGCACAATTCTCCCGTACATTATCGCAATCTATCTGTCCACGGCAACAATCCAATCTTCGGGGTCGTTCCTGGTACCCCACACAACAGACGTTCCTTTCTTCTCGTCACATCCCTAATTGACGTCCGCACAATCGCGTCCATAGAACGAACCCGAAGAGAAGAGGCCGGCGACTTTTTGCGGTACACGGTCGACATTCGGAATGCCCGTCTGAGCCAAAAGGCGCGCGCGATCGCCGACATTGCCATATAGAGAGAACGGGACGCGACCGAGCGCCGGCCCATTTCGAGCGAACTACAGCACAATCTGTATTTGGTATTATTTGATAGCATCTTGTGGGAAACCTATCAATCGCTACTCCTGCGCCCGTCCGTATAATTGTCGCACGAAGACCCGCGTCGTCTTCTCGTTCCCTGCTACTTTGAATTCTTCGGGGCTCTTCCATTCCTACTCGACAAGGTGAGTCATACCGGGAGAACATCGTGCTCGTCTAATATGGCCAGGAGCTACCGGTACTGCCTTCTCCGATTGCCTCTTGGATTGAGTAACGACTCCGGCCAAGTTGTATGTTCGACGTGATGTCAAGGAGATATTTTCACTGATTCTTCTCTTTAAAATAAATGCTTATAATTTTTTCACTTATAACACCAGGTTAATAATTTTCTTTAATCGCCCGTATTTTCTTCCAAGTAATTAATTTTATATTACCTAACTTCTCCTAACATGGTCTGTTAGACGTTTGCAAACGAATATAGGTTCGTAAACATGTCTCAATACGAAAACGCATAGCTTTAATTGCAAATTTTGTGAAACTGAGAATATTGACTTACAGATGAGTACAGATTTATGAGATAACAGATTTAAGAGGAGAAATTCTGTTGGCTTCCTATATTTTCTAATCTCCATAATACAATCGCTTCGGAAATTTATATAATTGAATTGTCAATGAGATCTTTATTGATTGAAATATTTATTATTGATTGAAAGGGAAGAAATATCATCGTTTTTATTGTATCTTAACTTGGCAGGTTCTAGTTGTAAATGGATTGTCATATGACATATGGTCGTTTAAAGGTTTATGACTTCGTTCTCCCGCTTCTTCTAATGAGCCAACCATTAATACTCAACGCACAATTGCATAATATCTTCCCATCAACTATCGAGCTTTCTCATACTCTACGTAGACATTACTGTATGTCTCGTGCATTGTTATACGTATATGGAAGACGTGCGAAGTTCTAAAACAAAGTGGGAGTTAATTGTAAATTGTCTTAAAAATATAAAACCCGTTCCGCTGCGTTTGTCACAATGCAAAGTCCATTCGCAATTAGGCACATCTTTCGGTACCTCTTGCAACACTTGCAAATGTGCAGCATGGGCGAGGTTCCACAAATAAAATTAGAACCGGAACAGTATTAATGTCAGCGTGTCGGCCTTAAACGAGCAAATGCGAAAGAGAATGCCCGCGTTACTCGATAGCTCCACTCCGTTTACAGGGTTTACAGTTATCATTTACCTTCGTCCTACACGCCACGTCCATCTGGAGCTTTTACGGCTTCCGTACGAGCGACTACTCATTTTTGCACTGTACCGACGCGACGCTGCACCGACCGCATAAACTTGCGCATATAAACTGAAAATTATTTGCGACCCTTTTCGTTTTCGGATTCCATTGGATCCTGAGAGAGTTTGTACCGCAGTAGATCGGTACGGCAACTATTGTGTTCATGTTGCCTCTCGGCTGATTTTCCGTTTTATTTACGGAGTATCGAACGTGGATTAGCACATAAATTAAATTGGCGATGACGTTTTTCTTATCGATCTTTTAAAAAAGTGATTTAGGAGTCTATTTTGTTATAAAATCATAATAAACGTTTCTTTGTGACATTGTGTGCCTTACGATGCCCTTATTTGATTTTAGTAAAGGCGTTTGATTACCTTCCATTTTATTAGGCAATAATTCACATCCCACGATTACTATCATCGGATTTGAATATACTGTATAAATCAAATTTTAAAATGCAACTTTGTATTTTATCTAGTAGATATCTGTTGCCATTAGGAGTAGTTCTTCAACATTTTAATGCAAGGCATAAATATCTTAGACGTAATTGTTTATGACTCTTCTTATTTGCGTCAACGAAATAGAAATAAAAGCATTTAAATTAATGCTAATTGTGCTAATGGTCGTAGGATGATAAATAATTGTTAATAGGAAACGTGATTGAAAGATGATAATTTGAAACGACATGTTGATAATAGACTTGCAAATAAACTCGGTCATACAAAACAATTTGATACAATGTACTGTGAGATGGAGTGACACTAATGTTATCCTATGATGAATGCACCCTTTGTGTTCAACATAAAGATTATTGATTGATCGGCAATAATTACCACGTAACTGAGGAAGGAAATTATATTATCGATCCTGTCATCAGCGATAAACATCAGCTATTAATCCTAGGGCATCCCACGTAGTTTTCATCGCCAATTAAGGTTCATATTACCGCGTTCGGACCGGAATTTGTTTTTATATTTCTAGATTTAATCGGTAATTAACCGATAATTGATGATTGGCCTCCGATATCTTGACATCTCGCATTAACGATCGACTTTATTAACTTATTTATTTTTTTTTACTTACCCCTGTAGATACATCATGTCTACAATCAGACGCGTGTCCATTACAGACACATTGACCTCCGATCTGGATGTCCCTAATCGAATAAAACAACCTCTTGTTCCACAGATGATCATGAACAAACCGTTTCGGTGCCATTTCATGAGATCTCTTTAAGCCTTGCAATCTTATCCTGACGAAACGGGCCTTCGTGAATTCAAGCAATTCCAGACTTCGTTCGTTTGCCCCTGGTCTGTCGTGCATCAGAGTGTGGATCTGCAGAAGATAAGCAAGGTAAACAAACATTTGTCGCACTCCGACTCGGTGTCGGAGAGGTTCGCGTTATTTAGTCATTCAATTAAGGCGCTCTCGCAAGGGAATGCGGAAGAGGTTGTGGAGAAAGAAAACTTGCTTGCAGTGGGGCTTGTTCATGAATTGTTAAAATGTCGGGAGACAGCCGACAGAGTCAAGAATTAAAAAAGAGGTTTATTTTAATAAAATTCATTTAAGAAAAAAAATCTCTTACCTCTCCATTTTCCACTGGTGTCAATTTCGAATAGTGAGAAGTGCAAATAACTTCGGTATCGGTATCGTAGTGGGGTTTCCCCTTTTTCGAAGGTATACCATACCTTTCCAGACATTCCCTGTCGGTTCTAGCGTAATATTGCCAGGGTTGATACTCAATTCCATCAATCGATCGTTCCAAAATCCACGATCCGGGACGTGGCGATATAGCCGCTTTTATCGTTACATGGGTCACTTGGTATACCTATCAAATTCGAAAAGCGTTACTTAATAGCAAAGTTAATAGGAAGAAAAAGCGTTATAGAGTATAAATAATCGTAAAATACGTTTCCTCGGTAAAATTTGTTGAAAATAACCACTTAAAACTGACGTCGAATTACCATAAAAAATAAACTGCGGCCGGGAGTGGTGCGTTCGAAATTTTCATAACAACGGGAGAGTTCATCTTCTGTGGCCGTTATTCAAAGTCGAGTGCTTTACCATACAAAGTGGGACGCGCGTGCACCGCGGTTTAAAACAATAACATTCCGTTTGTTTGTCCGGCGGTCATCCCCGGCAATAAATCTGGCCAATAACACGATGGTGGACAACGGACAACAAAGGCGACCGAGTACAAAAGCGCCGACAAAACCCTGTGCGTTCCATGATCTACGAGACATCAAGAGCTGTTAGCTTAAGTAACACTTTCAAGATGACACAACACCTTTTTATTTTCTAATTAAAATTTTGTTTTTTAAATCAGTTGATGAAAATTATCTTAATTACTCGTATAAACCAAATCCAGGTTGGTGGGTGTGTGTTTAGAGAAAGCTCTCGAAATAATTACATCTTCTATATTTACGTAGCGGGTTGAGTAATGAGAGGAGGAAATCGCAGTATAAAGGGGTTCCCCTTTGATCTCCGTTTTGTTTGCGTTTGACGGAACTATTCACTTAAATTATATACGAAAAGTACAGACTTCAGAGAAACTTCGTTTGACAAAGTCGGGTAAGTCGAAGAGGAACCGGAAGCGATCCGGGCCACGATGTTTTGGGAAAACAACTATTACAAGAACAGAGGGAACTATGTATTTTAGAAGCATTGTGGCGCGCCAGATTGATCAAAACTTCCGTATTCATCATCGTAATCTTAAGGGAGCCAAGTTCACCAAGACGAACTTGGGCGGACTGTTTGCCAAATTGATTCGGCGGCGTTCTCGGTTTCAATTACGGACCGACGAGACGCCTTCTAACAGAACGGCTGGAAAACGTTTAAACCGAATCTACCGGATCGTTATCAAAGCAACGTTCGAATCGAGCCCGAAGTGATTAATTCCGGTTTACCGAGTTTCGGTTTTGGCATCCGAACTCTCTATAACGGACTTGATTACTATCTCCAGGTGCAAAATTGGTTTAAAACAACTACTAGAAATGATCTCAAGTGGAAACTAAATAAAGTGTTTTTTTTTGTCACACCAAATTGTCATGAAGTAAAAAATAGGTGATAAGAAAAGATTTGTTGTTGCAGTGTTCACCTCAAAAGTTCAATTTTGTGGTTGTAAGATATTATTTGAAGATATGTAGTACCAAATTTCAAGATTCTGGGTTGAAGGATTTATTTGGAAAATAAAACTTAAAATTGAAATGATGCTTTCGAGTTACTTTGTAAGCGATGTAGGATGTATACAGGGTGATTCGGAAGGAAAAGATATGCAGATATGGTTTTGCAATGGTAGATACGTCTTCCGAATCAAAGAATTCCTAATAGGCAAGTGTTTCATACTGTTTATACACGTGGAATGTTCCTAAGTGCAAGGGGTCGGTTTGGAACTTGAATAACATATTCTGGACGTTGTAGAAAATAATCCAGGGATAAGTACAAAGCGGATGTCAATCCAATTTGAAATTCCACAAACAATGGTTTGGAAAACATTAAAACGGCAAGATTTAAACGCTTTTCATCTGCAAAAAGTACAAAAAGAGCGAATCATCGTTCACTGAAATTGGCTATCAAGTCCATTTATAAACGCACAAATAAGCATATCGAAGTGGGCCAAATTTCTTCACTTTTTAATTAATGTTCAAAGTTTCTCTGAAACAAATGAAAATTGGTCTTGAACATATGGGCTTGTTTTGCATATTTTACCTTCCTGGACATATCCTTAAAATATTTCCATTTCCACCCAAATCACCCTGTATATACATACTTAATAAATACTACAAAGTAATTTTTAATTTTATTTTATAATATACGGGACGGTTAATTAAAATAAATCGTACAAAATTAAACTGTCGAAAGAATCCTGAAGTGGAAATTAATTCCAAAATGGAAATGAAACGTTTTTAAACCGCAGAGTAACGAATACATAGCCCTTAATAACCGAGCACTTCGACGCGCTATTAAGTTACTCGCGTACCGGCGGCAGACCGTTGATTCAAAATTAAACGAATTCACGGAGACAGAACAATAAATTGTGTCTGCCCGCTTGGAATTCGTGTGCCCGGAGCGGACTCGCACGTTTAATTCGATCAGCGGGGATCCCTATTACGACGTAACGAATAAATTTTAATACGATTATCATTGGTCGCATTAATTAAAAAGATACCGTAGCGTGGACCGGACCTAAATTAACAGTATTTTTTTTAAACAACCCAGTAGTTTCTACTTCGTCCCGTAAACTCCGTGCGAATCGTGCACGTGCAGGTTAGCGGATTGTGCCATTTCAATTCACTTTTTTTATACTTCTTTTCCAGTTAAATATGTATGTGTGTGTGTGTGTGTTGTCAGTTCACCAGTTTCCTATTTGACAAATATACTTTTAGCTACGTGCTGTTATATTTGACCTTTATATTTGACATCCAAAATGTTTGATAAAAATAAATGGTCTCCACAAAAAGATTAATATAAATATAGGATTTATAGAGGCTGTTTGGCACTTTAGAATTTCAGATCTAATTTAAGTTAATTTAGTTTCCGGGTCATGTTACTGCACCGAAAATAGTTTACGCATAATTTGTAACTTACGTGACTGCTATCATTAATCATCGTAATTGAACAGACAAATTAGAGTGCTTTGTCAAAAAGCATCAATACGAAATAAATAAATGATAAAAAGAGGAGCCAATCGAGAAGATAGTAGTAGTATGAAAGAATTGGTAAAATCTAGTGATCATCAATTTTTACATGGAAATATTTCAAGAGGAAACATTAAGGAAGAGTCAGTGGAAAAAGAAGCTATGGCTCCGTTACGTGGATGACACGTTTGTGATCTGGAAACACGGAAAACATGCGAGTATGCGAGTGTAAGAGCAGCTTAGTAACACAATAAAGTATTATTATTATTATTATTGTTTTTGAACAAGGTTGCAACATAGCAAGCGAAACGTTAAACATTTTTTCAAAAAACGCATGACTTTTTAGTTTTAGTTTAAATAAATAGTTATTATTTTTTACTTATTTTTATTAATAATATTAGCTTAGTAATCTATGAGATTAATGTATCATCTGAAGTGTGTAATAACTTGTATAGGTGAACAGTTTTCCAATTATCCAAGAAATTCCTAATTAGGGCGAGAGTCGCGGAGCATATATCATAATTAAGTGGGGCAGTGCCGTGGATATAATGCGACCATATGTTCGCGGCATTAATAAGTAGAAGCACGGACCGGCGAGGATTCCGTACAGGCGCAATTTTGAAATTCCCGCCTCTCTTCCGCTCGGGAATTACCAGCCTTCAGAGACAAATTGCGATTGCCATTAGCGGTGCGACCAACATCAAAATTCCCGGGCGAATACCGCCGGGACATCGGAAAAACTGCGAACGCCACAAGTGGTCGGCTTCGTAAGAATTCGCGCCATATGGCCGTTCCCAAGTTAACGGAGGAAATCAAACGGAGGACGTCCGATTCGTCACTTCTTTTCCCCTTTTTTCGCCTTTTCCAAAGCGAACGAACAACGCGTGAGGTCCAATTTTCGACCAATCTTATCCTGTTTGTCCTGCGAGGATAATAACGTCTTATCTAGACGTTGTTATCGTGGTCTTTTTCTTTTCCGGCAAGGTATTTTTTGGAGTTCGAAGTCGTAAAAAGAGGAATTTTCGATCGTAACGTAATACCAAACGCCCTGTATATCTAAATTGGACGTAAAACCGATAGCGGAACATAGTGCCGTGACATTCGACGCGTTTCCTGCGTAAACCGAACTCGGATTGCTACTGTGCGGTAAAAGTGGGTACGTAAATAGAAACTAGTCGTACGTGTGTGGACGTTAAATAATGTTTAGGTTACGATACTTGGTACATCGACGTTGCTCTGGTTAGAAACTGGAGATTCTTATTGCACAACGACGACAAATAGATCGAAGAAATTTAATATGGGTTCCAATCTTTCTTCTAATTCAATTACAATGTTGAAATTACAAATAACGTAACTGTTGATGTAACTGAAAAAGTTTTCAATTTACCTTTTAGTAATAATTGAGAAAATTACACAAACCCGATCAAGCAATGTGTTCCATTTTACGTAAGTAACCGTAAGCTAGGTTATCCTGGTCGTTTGATCTTGGAGAACCTTTGCGGTTGTGTCATTATCGTCATCTGACGTTGGAGTCTCTCCGTCTGTATCGAAACCGTGAATCGCTCGTTCGTGCTTCGGTCCCCTCACGGAGCAATTGTCTCTGCCGGATTTGTTTTTTAACGCTACATTGGACAATCGAGGGAATTATTGGAATTTTCTTTTAATTTCACTGTGGGAAATTCACGTGATCAAGTCGAGGTGGCTTACGGCCGAGTAAGATCAAGTTGAAACTGGTCAACTTCATTCTCATGATTTTTAAACATTTTAAGATACATTTTAAAATTCGCTTTTACACCAAAGAAGAAGTTGGGTAACATATTTTCTTATGACGTTTTGTAGTACTCAGAAATGCCATGCACTTCTTATCTCCGCACAAGTACATGCACTCGTACGGCGCTCGAAATGTCGCGAAGCTAATAAAGTTCTGTAACTCGGCCATACATCATGTCGTAATGTAAAGTTTATATTACACGCCGCCTTATCTGCCATCTTCGAAACGCGCCGTCCGCCCTATCAATATGTCTAATTAATTTAATGGGCTACTCATCCGATAGCCCAACCATAAACTCGAATTTATCGCGTCTCGAGCGTAGAGAGCTCCTGGCGATGACTGTGAGAAACTAATGGCAGAGATGCACATAATCAAGCTAATTAAATGAATCGGCCGCTTATGCGATTCGAATTTATGTCGTAGATTTACTCTTAACGAGATGACTAAGTAATACAGCTTAAGAGAACTTATGTATTAAGACATGAATTAATTCACCTGTAATAACTGTTACACTGTCTAATAGCGGATAACTCTCGGGGCGTATGTCGAGTATGTGCTAATTGTATTCAGAATGGCCGATGTAGCGCATTATAAATGCGCTATGTCGTTCTCGTCCCCTCCTCATGACAATAATTAACCTGTTCTATGCATTCACGCACCGGTCGTATCGAGTGTTACTTCACTGCTTTGGCTACTACCACTGCGAGCATGGTGGCGGCTATAAAATCTTGCTCGCCAAGAATTTACCATATTCAATTATGCTTTGCATATAAGTATATATTAAAGCCTTGTAACTTAGTATGTTACCACCTGTATTCGCTTCCAATCCATTACAAGATATTTCTTATTATAAACTGACTAGGAATGAAAACGTGCTTTTAACGATTTCTAACTAATAAAAACTTCCTCAACTGCATGAAGTATCACCCATCCTTTCTTCATTCCATGGATTGTCTAAACCGATTTGCCATTGTATTTGCGGTATTGGGTACCGTTGTTAACCGTTAGACAATTGTCTACTCAGAATTGAATGAAGAACTGCAGTTTTGTTCTGAAAGCATTTTAAATAACGGTTACTCTAATAGAAAACATATTAAGATGTTTCACATCATAATAAGATGTTAACAGTGTTGGGATTACTTTGTATTGTAAATTTAAGTTTTATTTCTTGATACAGTTGAAAATCGATTCGTTGAATCGTATTGATTACAAGATGATGGTATCGAAGTTTCAACGAGACCAAATTAGCATTGCATCGGAAAATTCCGAGTATTATCTGGCGTTTAAAAGCGGCGTCATAATCGTCGGCAGGCGCGCTTGTTAGCGGCCCATTCACACGTCACGATCGCTTTGAGAGTCGCCACAAATCAATTCCCGAAATGAATAAACATCGACGTTGCGCGCCGCCACCGCTGACTACGAACGTTCATTTGCATTTTTAAATGATTTATATCCGGCTGTAAATGGGAGTGCGATTACTGTTTGAGCATGGGCTAAGGTGAGCCGGATTAAACGCTCATTTTTTTCACCCTTTTTTTTATTATGAATGTGAATCCAGCGCTATTCCCTAAATGGTCGTTATGTTTAAGTTTTAACTTATCCCCCAGACAAGGTGAATTGCATTTATATATATATACTATATAGGGAGGAAAAATTTAAAATACACTTTAGAGTTGAAATGGTGGTTGAGATAGTTTATTCAAAACCTTTCCTTTTTGCTTTCCGCAATCCGATTTAATTAAATTCCTCCGAGCAAAATCGTCTCGCGACAAATTCGAACACGATCTGTATCCGCGAATAAGGCCTTATCTAATTGTTCCCATAGGAAAAACGAAGCGGGACCGATGAGACCGGTCCGTGACGGTTGTTAATTGGTTTTTGAGCCGTCCGCCGGCGTAAAAAGAAAGAGTTACAACGTTCGACGTGGGTGTCTCTACGCCACGATCGACCGCCACTTTAATTGGCCTAAACATGCCAACAGGTTAGTCAACAAGATGTAAATGCGATAGCGTTCCCAGTTTTTGCCGCATTCATCTTTCTCCGACGTCGCCACTTCTCCAAGCCTATGCAAATACATAGGATAAGATGACAAGAAGTTGAGCAACTTCTTAAGAGGGACTCCTTTTGGAACTCCCATTAATAAATAATTACAAGTAAATAACACAAATCATTAAGATATATCATTTGTGTATGTATAATATTTGTGGAAAAGCACGACCTCACAAGACATTCGTAGAATGCATAAATTGGGGCGCGCTCGCCCAGTAATTACAGCACCAGCTCTCTGGTGCGTTAAATTGTACAAAACGGCACCCGACCTCTAAGAATATCGCTCGTGCTGACCGCGTAATAAGAGGGAAACGCGGCGTTTAAGGATAATGAGTCCAATTGCCAGGACGGCACGGGAAAAGGTCCGATGCACTCGAGGTAATTGTCGACGGCTTGCGATTTCTCTTTGTTTTTGCACGAGTTCCCGTTTTTACTGGAATATTGAGGTCTTCATCTTAATACAATAATTATACGTATCGACTAAGACGAAATGGGTTGGGCTAAATTAACTTTTGTGTTTAAGAAAAAACTAAATTGATTTTTTAATCAACATCAGAATAATATTTGAGTTTGAAAAATATCTGGTTTCTCAACCTAATCCAACTTAACACAATGGAACTCATCGCAACATATCTCAACCTAATCTTAATCAACTCAATATAACAGAATCTAACTCAATCCAATGAAACTTAACACAACACATCTCAACCTAACTTAACCCAACCCAATATACCTAATCAACATAGCAATCTCAACCTAACCCAATCCACTGGAACTCAATCCGATCTAACCCATCCCACGGAAATCCAACCTATCATATCCCAACCTAACCCAAGCCAAATATAACTCAATACACCTCAACCTAGCCCAATCCAAATAGCCACTCCGAAGTAATGCTTCGTACTGTTTTAGTCGGTTTGCGATTCCAAATGGGAAGCAAAAACGACACTCTTCGGGCCGAATTACTGTTAACGAAATTACGTAATTCTTCTTTGGACAAAAAATAAAAGTGAAAGTGTTGGGTTGGATCTCATTTTAATGGACACCAATCAAGAAAAAACCGTTCGGTTTGTTTTTGGTATCTTCACAACGTTTTCTCTATGTACACTCGTAAAGGATTTTTCCAAACAAAAAGAAAAGGATAGGTTGTCCCAATTGGCTAAATGTAAGAAATGAAGGTTCCAGCTTATTTTAAATATCACCACATCAAACCATCATTTTAAAATGTATCCGGAAAAAAAACCTTCAACAGTATAGCTCTTATAGTAAATTTATTATAAAGAACCTTGGTGAATTACAATTCACAAAAAGGTTCTTTTGCATAAGTACCTTTTCAACAATGGAAATAAACGATACGCTTCGCCATCGAAATAAACCTCGAACAATACGAAATTGTGCCATAAAATCCGTACTCACACGGACAATGCGTATACGTTCAACGGACAACAAAAACAATTAATCCGGTCCGTGCAATTGCTTCATGCTCACGTATCCTTAATGAGAGCACAAAGAGGTGGAGGAGATACAGTCGGGCCGGAACACCTCGGCCATATACGGACGAAACGTGCACAAGACAGTCTATTGTTTTTACGTTAAAACTGTTCCTATGTAGACGTAAATTAACTACCCGATAAGTACGGAATTTTTTAAACGCGATGTCTCGAACAATGGCGAAATAGTAAACCACTTAAGAAAGTTACTTAACCACTTTTGGAGCAGGTAATATCTTAGATGGTTGATTTATTTGTTATTTTGAAAACAAACTGAAATTAAAAATTAAAATTAGGTAATATTAAAACGGAATCCTGAAAACATTCATCATACTCATTTGACCATAGGGTAATCCGAGATTAACAGTTTCTTATTAGACGATAAATTACTAGTAAAAGTATCAGTGAATGGTCTGCGCTTGCCGACCGCTTCGGCTTTTAATATAAAAGCTCTTAGCAGGGCCCGAAATAATAAATCAGGTCTGTAATTGCATCTAGACGCGGAGCTACATATAAATTATATCTCCAAGGGCGTCGCTTTTAACTTTCAAAGGGCATGGTGTCCGGGAAATGAACGGCATTTGATTTATTTTAACTTAGATGCCATTTCAAAATTACACTTGCAACAAGACTTGTACGTTTTATCTAAATGAATCTTATTCTAACGTTTCAAATAATACATTATGAATTACCTGTTTCAAGTCAAGTGTTATTGTTATATATTCGTATTCCTGGCCGTAATGTAAAGCAGGACTTTGCCACCAATCGACGGTACCATCGATGGCATTGTGTATCGGATGTCGTTGTCTCTTCGATTGTTCGCTAAAATTGTCGCAAATTTCGCATTTCCTAGCATATTTCTCTGACATTCTGCAAAATTCCTCTCTTCCACCTTCACCGCAAGTCGCGTTTACTGATATTAAAGCTTTTGTCGCAACGTTAAAAACTTTTGGCCAAAGACCGGCATCTTCCGATAAATTGAAATCGAATGGATTAAATTTGGTCCTGTTTTTCATAAATTTTAACGCTGAAACAAAAAAAAATTAATCAATAAATTATACATAATTACGAAACTACTATGCACTTAGTTAAACTAAAATGCAACATAGCTTAATTGTACAGGTATTGGATAGGTAGTTTTGGAAAAATTTTGCTTGGAAAAATGTAACGTCTTTATGATAACTGTGAGCTTTCGGCCGTCTTAAGAGACGAATGGCTACACCCGAATGTTTCTGGTTCTAGGTCTAGTGTTAGTTCTACTTTTCGTTAAATAAAAATATACTACAATCTAACGCTAAATAACAATTAAAACTAGAACTAACACTAGACTCTAGGTCTATTTCTTGTGTTAGTTCTAGTGATAGTGTTAGTTCTAGTTTTAGTGCAATAAAAATATGCAACATAATGCAACAAAAAATATCTTATGATAACTAGCGCTACCTACCACTGAAATTATAACTAACATTAGACCTAGAACTAGAAACAGTCAGGTTTAGTCATTTTAAGAGACGAATGGCAGAACGGAATAGAAGCTACGGAATAGAAGCCAGCATTAATTTAATTAAAACAAATTCAACTGAATTGAAATTATTATTACCACCAGTGGCAATAACCTGGAACGATTTAATTAATCTTTCACGACTCGTAACGTGAACATCGAGAGCAAACTAAAAGTACTCTTAATACGCTCGTAGTAAAATTGGACGATGTCATGGACGAAAGGGTCTGTTCGGAAAGTTCCGCAAATACATTTCCCCGATAGATTATGGCTTTTAAAATCCGTTCATCCATCTCGTTCCCACACATTTCAAGAACGACGTGCGACACGTGGATAAACTGCGAAGAGAGCTTGTTTAAAACGGCGAATTCTTGAAGATCTCGGAGGACCGTGCAAATCGGTGCAAATAAAATTGAGCGGACGTGCGGAAGGGGAAAGGCTCGCACAGACATCTGCCGTCTGTGATATTTATATCCGGGACACGCAAATAGGTTGTTTGGTCGAGCGCTGTGACACCGTCAGTGACGTATCTATCGAAAGTCGTTGGGGTCAGCGAAATATTGTAACTCAGGTGTAAGTTATGGTATAAAATTTTATGAAAAGTTTTGCAATATTTATTACAATCAGCCACATTTAGAGCTTTTTCTTACTGTGAAGTCCGATTAAGTGAATTTTAGATAATCTTGGTTTTACTTAAAGTGGGAGATGATCTAACATCTACTTTCATCCTCCATATCATTTCATATTTTTTGCTTCACTATTTATCTAGACATGATTAAACCTGGATGTTTAACTTACAATTTAAAGAGAATAGTTTCAATTTTGTTTAAGTAATTGTTGGAATTCATTTAAAACTTACTTTGTATACATAATAACCATTACGTAATTTTAGCATCCCAGATTTAAATCTGTTGTTTTTCTTTTCTGTTTTCTCACTGAACGCCACTGGTTTTGGCTTGCTGCTACATTTGTCGCCAAGATTCGTCGACACGCAGGCTGCCAAATACGCGTGGGTACCAGGTAATATTCAGCCCACGGGCTTTAACCAGACATCGCGAACCCACACATACAAAGCCTGCCAAGTTTTATGTTCTCCTCACCAACCGCCCGGCCGGTTCGCCGAGGCAAGTTCAAAAACAAGGTTATGTTGCGATAGGTTATGGATTTTTTAAATACGCCAAAACATTTATTAATTTTTAATACTATTAAAAAATCTTTATTCATTATGAATGTTAAATAAATTCAAAATTTATATTGGGTGTGTTCGTGTTGTGACTTGTAGAACCATAGGAGGTTAAAATCGCAAAATCTCACGTGGTGAACATTTACTGAAATCCCGTAAGATTGTCGAGATATAAAACGACTAGATTATGAAGTAACTGTCGGAATAATTAATCGATACTAACCGTAAATATGGCACTCCGAATGCATAACGTATCGCTAGTCATGTTAGAAACGTTGCGTTTCCTACTTTGCTTTACAAACTAGATTCAATTTCACGGAGATGCTCTTACATCTCCATCTCGTTCGCAATAAAATTACGCAGGAATGCAGTGGTATTACCAACGCGATACGATAAGAACGTTCAAACGCAAATCTCTAATATCCCGTAGTAATACTACGAACACTATTAAGCTTTAATTTGCACATTTCTCTGATAGTTTTAGAGAACAATGGGTATTATAACGGTGCGAAATTTCGATCAAAGCTCGGCTTTCGTGGTTTCAACCTCACTCAAAGCTAAATGGAGCGAGGAGAATTCTCGTTTGAGAGTGATATATTCCCAAAAATCCCAAAACCTCAAATGGACCAAAATTACTCGTAGCGTTAGCAAAAGGGCCAACTAAATTCCTATATCCGAAGCGCGATTTTTACCAAATTTTACGAGCGCCGATATTAGGGTGGACGAAGAACGTGAAAGCTGCGCGTTAGAGCCTTGCTAAGCTCAGGCTAGCTGAACGGTTATATTCGGCCATTATAAGGCGGCGCTCGTAAAGTTCCCGGGGAGCTTTTATGTTCGGATTAAACCTATGACTTATTAAGCATGCATTTGCCGCTTTACTAACCGCGTCCCATTGCGGGTTCAACTAACAGAATCCTTTCGAACATTTCATAGACCACCCTAACAAAAAAAACCTTTCGTATTAAAGTATAATTGAGAAATAGTAGAAATATCTTCTTTAAAAACTTTATTATTAAATTCTTAAAGCATTTCATCCTATATGTAACGGTTCTTATTAGAATTTCAAATATACAGGTCTGGACCACACGTAAGAAATTTAATACTATTTATTCAAACAAATCTATTTAATCTAATCTAAATTTAGGTGATTTAATTTTTTATAAAAATAATTTTTAAGAATCCCATTTCAAAAGAAACCCATTAAACTTATCAGTTTATCGCCAAAGTGAGGGTATAAAACTTAGATTTAACCACACCAACACTCATCTACGAACGTGTTTTAATGCGTCACATTAAAAATGTATTTATTTTCATTCCCCAGACAACGTGGTGGCCGGAACAATGGACATATTGTGTGCGTCTACATCGTGTGTGGGAGGTGTTCCTCCCATTAGAAGGGGGAAAAGAAAGTCGTTCCGACCACATCGGGGGTTAAGATAGGTCTCTTATCTATATAAAATCTTACCCCAAGGGGCGCGATGGGGTATTGTTCTTACAAGCAAAAATATACTCGTTCTGACACATGAATATGTTCGGTTCGAAGGCCATTAGAACGTGATTCACTTGGAGAACTCGATCACCCACACCTCGTTTAAGACGAATTTGGCCGTGGCATTTTTGGTTCCCGTGCCATTTTTGGCTCGTCTCGGAGCGTTCGTACTTTTTTAAATCAGGACGAATCGTGAGACGACTGCCAATCGTGAAGTCGTTGACCACTTTAAAATTGGAACAATTTTTGATACTAAGTTCTATAATTGGAAGATGAAGAAATTTGTTAAAAATAAAGAATTTGCGACATCGTCCCTCTTTCAATCTTATTTGTTCTGGTGTCAAGCGTTGGTGCCGCGAAAAACTGCGAGAGTAGCGTTTTTCCCGTCAGAGTGCTTACATTATTGATGGGGGGCAGAAAAAAAGGGGACCGGAGCGGCGATAATTCACGGTGAACACGACCCCAATACGGCGACACGAAAATTCCACCTTAATTGGCAGAAAAAAGCCGCGCAAAATCCGTGCCGGGCAGCGTCGACGCCAGTCGCCGCTCCGTGAAAAATACGCTCACCGTGTTTTATTAATCGCATGCGAAGCCACGCCGACGGAAGCCCCTGCTCATTACACGCCACTGTAGCCGTCAGACCGAGCACCGTGGAAATTCGACTTTAAAGGCCCCGTCGAAATGTTCCGTTACCGGACTGCGGAATTTCTTTAATCCACCTGACATCGCTTGTGTGTATTACGACAGCTTTCGAATTACAATGCTATTCACACAATACTTTCGATAAGAATTTTATCTATTACTTAGGGATTAAATAGGCTGGTTTAAAATTAAATTAAAAAAATAAACACTTAAGGTAATCATATGATTTAAATTCCCAGTGTAGTTTAGTTGAAATTGTTGCCCAATATCTTAATCAATGGAATCATGGAATCATCAATAAGCATACTTACTAACCATACACAATTAGAAAATATATATTCTTATGTTCAAAAAAGTTGGGTGTTATTGCAATCTTAAATTTGGACAAGCTAGCCAAAGAAGCGCCGAAAACGCCCTTTATTGGACCCCAATCCGGTTGTGGACTACAAAAAATCCACTTAAACCAGGTAACCAATAGTTGGGGGGCTCAAAGGTAGCCTTACGTTGCACATAGAGGTATTTGATACCAAAAGTTGGTCAAACTCATTTATTTCAAGGCATAAGAAATAATTTCAGCACTATGCACTAATATTGTATACATATACAGCATGTCCCGAAACTCAACGTCAACGGGCACCGGGTGAGAGGCCAACCCATACCTGTTCTGGTAAAAATAAGAAAATGAGTCTCTTAGTGAAGTGGTAATAGACATATTTTTGAAAATGTTAAAAATCCTTCCAGTACATCATACCTTTAGGTACTACGGTCAGAAATGTTCACAATTTAATAGTGATTTCCTTAAAAAAGGAATCCTTAAGCAACAAGCCAACGAAAAAAGAAAAAAACAAAAAAAAAAAAGCCGTAAGTTTGCAAAAAAAAAAATAAATTGAATAAAGTAAAGGTGAAAGAAATTAAGGCCAATAAACTTGAACAACCAATTCCAAAAAAAAGAAGAAGAAAAAAACCCTGGCAAAGAAATTTAAAAAAAGGACCGCTTAAGCAAAATTCCAAAAAGGCAAAAAACCTGCCAATCTTCCTTTCAAAAAAAAAAATAATGGCCTATTGCAAAAAAAAAAACACGTAAAAAAAAAAAAACTTTGGAAGCAAATTGGAATTCCCCCAAAAAAAATTTAAAAACTTGGTAAAAAAAGGGCCAACCAAAAACCAAAAAAAAAAGGGGGTTCAAAAAAAAGGGTGCCCAACCCAATAAGC